GAGAAAGCATGCATTTGCCTTTGACAAGAAGCTTTACGAATATACTTTTACAATGATTATTACACTAACTATAAACTAAGAGGGTTGGCTGCAGGTATCTCCATGTTCCAGCCCACAAGGTAGTCAGATCTGGTCAGTTGGGTGAAGGTCGTGTACCAATAAGAAAGACGTATGAATGCTTACCCTACTTTAAACTGCTTACAACAAACTTATCTATGTCTAACCTGTACTGAATAATCTGCCTCAACTCCATTGCTATGGTCTATTCAATGTTGTGTTTCTTTTTTTTGTTTGTTTCTTTTTTAACTTTAAATTTTTTTATTTTAAAATTGTGGGGTACTATGTTGTGTTTCTTAACCTTCCTCAGAGGGATTGGTAACTCTTGGCTCTGAAGCGGTGGTGGTGGGGGGGGATGTCACAATCAAAAAGGAGTTGTTTCCTTAAGTCTGTGCTCTTGGACCTGAGGATTCATTTAAACTCTTGCCTGTCTTTGGGCCATTGAAATTACATAGAAATCTATCTCCGTTTTTAACAGCTCCAGAGGCAATTCCTCAACAACTCTTGGTCATTTGTTCTACAGTTCTGGAAAATCCCTTGCCAAGGTCAACTAGAAAATAGGCCCTTGTGACCCAAAGTTTCTAAAAAGCTCACTTGACAAATTGAATAATGAGTCAATCAAGAGGAAAAATAAAGTCAGAGATCGCCTTGCTTCTGGAAGGACTGAGTGAAGGGTCATCTGCTGCTGAGAAAGTGGATTGTAAAGGAGGCACAGAGGCCAGCATCCTGGAAAGTGTGCGGTAGGACTCTGACTTGGGAACTGAGGAGCTCTGTCATGCCCAAGAGCATCAAAAGCTTCAAGTACAAAGAATCATTTGTGCTGTGCCTTGTGCATAAACTCCAATGAAGTTATTCACAGGGAATGATTGTCATCAAGGTCTTGTCATTGGAGTTTTTTCATGTCTTGGTGCTGAGAACTGATAACCCTTGAGATCAGGTATAGTGCTCGAAGACAAAGGGCATCACTTAATATCAAGGTGGCACACTGGGAAAAAAGGGAGGACAAAGAGGTACAGAGCAGAAAAAATGAGGGTAAAAACATATGCATGCTATAGGTAATGAAAGAGAGCTTGTAGGGAAGGCACGGAAAATAATGTCTTATCAGATTTTTAAGAATACTTTTTTAGTCATTTAAATATGTATTGAGCAGCTCCTAGGTGCCTGGCACTTGACAAGGCAACAAGGCATCATGGCACATTCCTTTGAGGAGGAAATGGCCTATTGAGGGATACAAGTGTGAGCAACTGTGAAACAGCAGGAAAGGTATTAATGGAGGCTGTGAGACTTACTATGAGGAAAGAGCAGGAGAAATATAAAAGAGCGGCACAGAGAAACTCTTGCACTTCTGGGGACTTCATTTGAGCTACTAGTAACCATGGATTGGCATTTGCAGACAGAATATGCATGAATAATAAGTCTCCAGTGAGTGACCCAAAAGGTCCCTGACGTGAGGTAATTTTCTGAAACATAAATTTGAATGGGCTGCCAGGAGGCCAGAGTGTACTTGCCAGTCACTCAGCTAGTGGATGGACCACACCCAACACTGGCATTTGTGTCCCAGCACCGCTTGGCTCTTCCCTTCTCGTTGACATCTGCACAGTAATTCTCTCCTGTGATGAATTTTTTTTCTTTGTAGAGTCAGGGAAATATGGAGTTAATAAGGTAAACACACATGGTAATGAAGTAGGGAATTTATTTTAATGACAAAATTTATTAAAATAGCTTTAGGAACTATTACGCATCTGAAAGGATTCCTCACAATTTTAAGTTACACTTTACTGCACTTCATGGTGGAAATTATATACCAAGATGACATTCATGATTTTGGAGACTCACCAAGGTCATGGATGAGCCCTTCGAGAATGTCAAGGGTCCAAGTCTGTGAATAGTGTTACATTTTATTGACACTCTACTGGATATAACAAGGTCTTATCTTAAGTTTGAAAAATAAGATATATTCTCCCTTACTATAATTTGGGGAAGGTTACTGTTCCCCTTCACTGTTTATGTGTCACTAAAAAACAAAGGAGACATTTATCTACAAAATTGCTCCCTGACAAGTAACTCAAATGAACAACGATTACTAAATTCCCCAATTGAATGCTTTCCTTTTGAGCTATTTCCTGGAACCTAATAATCACTGAAACTCAAACTCTGACCCTCTCCCCAAAACTCTCCAAGGACCTCGAGCTTAACATGACTCCACCCACAATCCCAACCTGCTTCCACTTCTGTCTTCTGGTTCTGACCATATGTCTTTGATCACTGAAGTTGGAAAGCTCAGAGTAGTTCTAGACCTTTCCTCCTCCCCTCCCCACATAGCTAATCAGTTACCAAGTAAAAAAATTTTTTTTACCTCCTAAATGATCCTCAGATGCAGCCAGGTCTTTCCAGCCCCACTATACTGCCCTAGCTCAAGGTCAAATTATCTGTCATCACAACATTCTGAAACTCTGCCTCTAGATATCCTCTACATTGATACAAAGCGATTTTTCTCAAAATACAAATCTGCCTTAATTGGCTTCCACTGAAAGATTAAGATATGGTCCCAACAAAAACTAGTTCATGGACAATGATTCTGATGCTCATGGTCTACACATGACACTTTAAGAAACGCCTTGACTGTGAGCTCTTTCTCCTCCAGAACATGCTGAATTCTTTACACCTCTAAGCACTTTGCATTGGCCAAAATCTGGTCTTACACTGCCCATTTGCCCTTCTGCTCCTGGTGAGCCTCTATCAGTCCAGTCCTTCAGGGTTCAATTCAAATGTCTCTGCTTCAGCAGCCACGTGTAAATCTCTTAGCGGCTCTCCTGTCTGGTCTTCCATGGCACTAGATACACATCCCTATTAAAGCATGTGTCACAGTTTACTGTAACAACTTGTTAACAGGTTTATCTTCTCCGGTGATCCATGTGCTCCTGTTCAACTTTGAATCCCTAGTACCTAACACTATGCTCCTGTCAGGCAGGCAGTCAGCGCTTGCTGAATGAAAGGACCAGTGATTGAGGTCTGTGGTTACATGGTAAAATGAGAGAAGTATGTCATCAAAGGAAAGAACTGCTTTTTTGGTTAACTCTAAAGTGAACCAAGGTGTCAAAAAAGTTAAAACAAGGATGAAGAGTACTTTTAGATCTCAACCAAGTCACTCGTCACATCTGTCCTGGCTAAAGACGAACTCTAGCAGCCTCCCGCGGCCTGTTTGTGAGAGCATTTCATACGTGGGCACCACATCCAGCAAATGTTCAATGACCATGGAAAAAATACCTAAAAGGAAGCTATTGGCTTTGAAAATATAAATGTAAGGAGATGCCCAGTAAAAGCATCTGCTGAATATTTTTCCTGTTTAGCACACTGGACTGCAATATCAGACACATGACAGTGCCATACTATATATACTCTGCCTGATGTCGTGCCAAAACTCTGGCTTTTGGTGACTTGGTGTGAGAGTACAGAAAGATTCTTTGGGTACCCTCATCATACAGAGAGAGCGGTGGAAAGAAGAGCTTTGGGGGAAAAAACCCAGTCTGAAAAAGAGGTAAATCCACTGCATTTAGTAGTTGACACTGCACTTCATCCTTCCTGAAGGTGGGATGACAGGGGAGCTCAAGCTTAAATCTAACGCAACAGACTATATTTATAAAGGACGACCAATCTCAGATAAAGCTGCCCCCCTAACCTGTCTGCTGCCCAGACGCCATCCAGAGCCCCCACTGGACCGCCGGTTCCGGTGGACTCTGGACAGCGCCGCGCCCTTCTCGG